AAGGAAACAAGTAATGCTGTATCGCCTTGTGCAAACTTTCCATATCCTAATGAGTAATTTGTATGTGAAAATGCAGGTTGGCTATTCTTGCTTTTGCATTTTACAAGTTGTACATTGTGGGAAAGTATGTCCTATATTTGCGTAGTCTCTTTGTGTTGGTTGCTGGTTTGGAGTGGATATTTTATTTTTGAAGATGCTGCCTATTATAACTAAACCTCAATGGGAATAATTTAACCATTTTCCACTTTGCTTTTTTTTAATGCCATTCACTAAAAAGACTAATAAAGCCACTTCTGTAAATGTCAACATTCCTTCCATGCACATCACCTTGAACTTAATATTCCCTGGACAGTTTGTAAATCCAGCTGCTTAGTGATGCTGTTTCCCTGACCTCTCCTCCATTCTGCGAAAGCTTGAGGGAGCATTCAGCTCCCTGCCTGTGAAACATTAAGCAACTCCAGCCACTTCAGGTGCCATTCAAAATGATATATAAATGCCAATGCTATTAGACAGCTGGTTACAGCTGCCACCCTAGATCTCTTCAGAACATCATTCTAGAAAATCTGTGGGGAAAAAAAAGAAGTTTCACCAGCTTCAGGCTACATCCTACATGCATGGTGAATAAAAGAGGGCTTTCCATTGGCGGGTTTATTCGTCACAAGGAGGTTAAGGCATGGACATCATTGTTCTGACATGTCAGACAATATCCTTCAATAATATCATCACATTTTTAAAATTCTCTCTGGTGTGAACATGAAATAGAAAAATAGAAAAATAATTCAGAGAGAGATGGGAACTTACATATAATTTTCCAAGTGATTTGAAAGGGAAGACTGAAATTACCTGCTGGGAGCATAAACAGATATCTGAAAACCAACTCCATGTAAATGCATTACATGAACAGATGCTTTGCTTTTTATAGATAAAGCAACCTTATTTGTTCGGGTTCTACTTTTTGACTGAATCAGGATGAGTTTAAATCAATGTACGTCCACTCCTTTTCCACTGGGCCATAACAAAGCAGCTTGATTTAAAACCTGTTTTTATCATCTGCCAATATCTGGTGTTTCACTGTGGCTTTTTTGCTGTATCTCCCAGTTGATGCACGTTTTTAATCATTTTATCTTCCTTCCTTCCTTTTCTCTCCTATATGCACACACATAAACACACACAAAATCCCACTGGTTTCTCAGTGACAGGATGTTATCTCAATTCTTCTAGAATCTTCCAAACTAATTGCAGCATTCCTGTCATCCTTAATCCCAGTGTATTGTAGCACTATTTGTGGTATTGTGTTATTTGGTGTGATTCATCACTTGAACAGGTGTCTGTATTTCCCAAGATATATACTTACAGGGACAAACAATGCTGTTTCAGAGGGGGGCATGGATTTAAGGTATCTAAAAGGCTCCTGAGTACCAACATTTACAAACAATCATAAATCTGGCTTCTTTATATCTCCTAAAAAGAAATAATATTGGTATTTGAAAATAAGGTTCCCTGCCCACCTAAAATCAGGAGCTGTTAATTTAAAGCCCACAGGAAGCATGGGGTCACTAGGTATGGTTCTTTTCAAGGTAAAAGGTATAATTTCCTCTAATATGCATGACTGGAATGCCAAGCATGACAAAGCTAGTGGTTAGCAAGATTTTGAAGCAGGGCTGACTAAATCCCATATTAATAACATTATTGGCAGATACAGAAACATTTCTAAATATGGCGCTACCAATTTATCAAAATAATTTTGATAACAACTTTTTTAAAATAAAAAAAAGGGTAATAGTGAGTGTCCTTGAATCACTGGGTGGGATTATAGTTACAAATACGTGGTGAAGACAGACTAAAAGAAGTGCTGAGGGGAAGGGGCGGCTGTTGGAGCATGCAGCCTTTTTCTCATTTAAAAGCGCGATTTTTTCCCTCCAGTCCTGAGTGCTGGGTACCGAAGCTGGCAGGATCAGTGTGCCTCCTTCCACATTGTGCAGAATTGTTTTGCAACTGTTTCTAAACATTTTCCTTTTTTTAATGTATAAAAAAAGTGAATGGAAAAACAGATAAAAAGATACATGGCCTTTGGTGGGAAAAGGAGAAAGAAAACAAAACAAGGTAAATTGCTCCTTTACCTTGGAAAGGCTGAGAGTGATCTGGGATTCAGCTGGACAAAATATATACATGGTGTGTAACCTGTGAAGCTGGATTCACACTGCAGGTGAATAACCTCCCTGTGCTTTTACTTAAATACGATGTCTGTCTTCACCACCGCCTAGGGAATGGGAAATGAGCAACCCTGCTTATAAGATTATGCTGCCACATGCTTTGTTGCTATGCAAGTAACATTTTGCAATCTCCGTATAAATCCCTGCTATATATTAACAGCCTCTTTTGTTATTGTTTGGAATTAATCTGCCAATCATAGCTGAACCCTTGGATGCCAGTGTAATTATTCATAAATAAATCCTCCCAAAGAAAAGACAGAAATGGTGACATTTTTCCCTGCCTGGATGTGAATTATGGATAAGCATTGAACAATAAGAGAACAGCAAATTAGAATGGGGGTTCTCTTTGAAATTATAACTTGGTTCATAGCCAGGACCCCAGTTCATAACTTAATTTTATTCAGACATTTTAGTTAATTTCCTCTTCATAGTTTTGCATAATACCATTGAGATAGCTCAGTTTTTATGGATATTTATGCAGAATGTTAGACCTCTGATGAAAGTTGTGATTCAGCCAGCTACCAACCTGTCTAGTTTTTGTTGTTGTTTTTAGAAATGTATTGAGCATACAAATTCATCTTGTATGTCTCAATTTTCATATTATACCATGGCATTCAGGGTCAGATGTCATGTAGACCGGCAGCAAGTTATCTCTGCTGTCTCTTATTTTGAAATACTGATGCAAATATTTAGGATCATTGGGCCAAAATTCACAGAGTTCAGTACAACATTTTTCTTCTTCTCTTCAGTTCCAAAAAGTAGAGTCTCAAGGAGATATTTCTTTCCACTTAAGCAAGTAGGAGATAAATAGCGTAATTTCTGCCTGCAACAATAAACCCAAACTCAGTCCCTTACATATCCAAATAAGCATTTTGCATAGGGAGAAGAGGTTTGTGTTATCAGTGCTATGTTACTGACATAATGTGATTTGGGCAGAACTTCACATGCATCATGCACATTTGATTCTTTCATATCAAATAAGGTGGAAAGATAACACAAACTGGGTATTTACATGGAGGGATCTTTATATGAGGAGCTGTGACTCACCTGAGGTTTGCAGAGAGGGACGAGATTGTCCTTCCACCATGCAAAAGGACCAACAAGTCGATGGGTGCCTGAGATGGAATTAAAACATCAGCATTTGACTACCTGAGAAGCAAATTGGATGCCCCCTTCATGCAAAACTGCTTCCTAAATTTAGCTTTTCTTTATAGTCACAAATACCCATACTCCCCCCACCCAAAATGAAATCTTATATTTGTTCAGTGTTGCTAAATACCATACCATTCAATTCCCTTGGCTCAATCATTTTCATAACCAGTTGATCATTTAATTGCAGGCATAATGTTGTGCTCTGACATCTTCAAGACAGTCCTTTTCATTTAATGTTGCATTATAATGCCTCTTTGAAAATTGCCCTGAATTATAGACTTGACATTTCCTCATTAGAGATTAGGTGTATAATGAGTTTATCTGCTGGAACATTCGGGGTCTAAAGAGAAAGTGTCATCCCTGATGCAGACAAACATCAGAGATTAACAGGAACGGCTGCATTTTAGCAATCACACTTAAATGGAAGATCATTTATTTCTGAGCATTCACCCACATTTTTTCATAAACTGTTTTCCTGGAATTGAGAACTTAAGACGTTTCGACTTTTTTTCCTCTACTCCTCTAGCATGTACTTTGAAATGCTCTGTGAGGTGTTTGCTTTTTTTCAGATATTTCTACAAATGTTTGTCTACTTATCCCTTTTAAGTTTCCATATTTTACTGTAAAATGCTACCCTATACAGCAGTGTTTCTCAACCTTGACAACTTTAAGGTGTGTGGACTTCAACTCCCAGAATTCCCC